GTTGTCTAATGATGTCATCATTGAAGTCGCTACTGAGAAGACTGCCGCGGGCTTGTGGTTGAAACTAGAGAGTCTGCACATGACTAAGTCTCTAACCAACAAGATGCATCTCAAGCAACAGTTGTTTTGAGGATGCAAGAAGGTACGCCTTTGAGGTAACATATGGAACAACTTAATTCTATTTTGTTGGATTTATGCAATATAGATGTGAAAGTTGACGATGAAGATGCTGCCCTAATCCCGCTGGTGTGTTTGCCGAGTTCATATGAGAATTTCGTGGATTCTTTTATTGATGGTAAAGATAGCTTGTCGTTGGAGGATGTCAGATATGCTCTTCACACGAGAGAGATCAATCATAAGGCGTCTGGTACAGGTGGTGAGGCATCAGGTTTGGCTGTTACAGGTGGAAAGGGAAAGAAGAAATCTGATAAAGGGAATTCAAACAAGAATTCCAAGGGTCCCGGTCCACAACTAGGTGATGCTTGTCACAACTATAAGGGAGTGGGGCATTGGAAGTACAATTGTCCCAGGAGACGAGGGCAACAGAAGAACTAAGGTTCGGTTGCCGTGGGAGAAGTGGACAACAGTTCTGAAGATGATCTTGCCTTGGCTGTAGATGAGAAGGCACATCGTGACGTGGTGATGTGTGGTTTCTGGATACTACAACCTCATACCATATGTCTCCAAACAAGGATTGCTCCACAACCTACGAGCAGATAGATGGTGATAACGTGGTCATGGCAAATGGAGCTGTCTGCAAGGTTGTTGGAATCAGGTCCATAAAGGCTCGGACACATGATGGTTCATTCTGTACCGTGAATGATGTCAGACATGTTCCACGAATGTTAAAGAACCCGATCTCCTTGAGTCTACTCGACAGCATGGGCTTCAGTTTCAAAGGAAAAGGTGGAGTTGTGTATGTATGCAAGGGTTCGAGAAAGGTACTGAAAGGCGTGAAATGTGGTACCTTGTATGCATTACAAGGAAATGTGTTGTCAGGTTCTGCTGCAGTTGTATCATCTGAGGTTCATCAAGAAGATATGACCACTCTCTGGCACATGAGACTGAGACATATGAGTGAATGGGGGATGCAAGTTCTGTCGAAGAGGGATCTTCTTTGTGGGCACAAGGTGCAAAATTTGGAGTTCTGTGAGCATTGTGTGTTTGGGAAGCTACATCGCAGCAAGTTTCCCAAGAAGGGTGTCCACCGGACGAAGGGGATACTGGATTACATCCACTCCGACTGTTGGGGTCCTTAACGAGTTGAATCCATTGGAGACAACATGTATTTTCTGTCTATTATTGATGATTATTCGAGATTTACTTGGATTTTCATGATGAAGTAGAAAGGTGAGGCTTTCAGGAAGTTCAAGCAATGGAAGACAGTGGTGGAGAATCAGACCTGGAAGAAGATCAAGAAGCTGCGAACAGACAATGGTATGGAGTTCTACAATTTTGAGTTCAACTAATTCTGCAAGGATGAAGGGATTGCTCGTCATCGAACTGTTAGAGATATACCCCAGCAGAATGGTGTTGCAGAAAGGATGAACCAAACATTATTGTAGAGAGCACAGTGTATGCTGTCTAGTGCTGACTAGAGAGAAGATTCTGGGAAGAAGCAGTTTACATGGCGTGCTTCCTGATCAACCGTGGACCTCACACATGTATCAAGTGTAAGAATCCTTATGAAGTGTGATATGGTAAGCCTGCTGATTACTCTTCACTCAGAGTTTTTGGGTGTCCTATTTATTATCATGTGGATGAGGGTAAACTGAACCCAATGGCAAAGAAGGGTGTATTTGTGGGTTACAGAGATGGAGTTAAGGGATTTCGAGTCTGGTCACCTTCCGAGCATCGATTTATACTCAGTATAAATGTGATATTTGATGAGAAGTCTATGTTTAACCTCACATTGAAGGTTACTGTTATTGAAGGTAGCAAGAATGTTGATAAGCAGGTGGAGCTGCAAACTCTCAATGAGAGTGAGTTTGAGCACCAAGGTGGAGAAGATCAATATGAGGATGTTTCTGCAGAGCCAGAAACTTCAGAATCCAATGCACGAGCTCAACCGTCTATGGCTTCCGGTAGACCGAAGAGAGCGACTGTATGAGTACCTCCATAGAGGTATGGCTTCGAGGACATGGTGGTGTATTCATTTCAGGTTGCTGGAGAAGTGGGTGCAGGTGAACAACAATACTATTGAGTAGCCATTTCGGGTGGCGAAACTGATCAGTGGCTTGCCGCAATGAGAGATGAGATGGAATCCCATGATAGGAATCAGACTTGGGATCTGGTCAAACGACCACAGGGAAGGAAGATTGTTACAAACAAGTGGATCTACAAGAAGAAGGAAGGAATCACTTCTAAAGAGGACATGAAATTTAAAGCTCGGGTGGTTACACGAGACTTCTCGCAGAGGGAAGGAGTTGACTACAATGAGATTTTCTCACTAGTGGTTAGACATACTTCGATCAGGGTGCTACTAGCAATAGTGACAGATTATGACTTGTAGCTCGAGCAGCTAGATGTGAAGACAACTTTCCTACATGGAGAGTTGGAGGAAGAAATTTACCTGACTCGGCCAGAAGGATTCCAGGTTTCAGGAAAAGAAGAAAATGTTTGTAAGCTGAAGAAGTCCTTGCATGGACTTAAGCAGACTCTGAGGCAGTGGTACAAGAGATTTGAAAGCTACATGCTTGATCTAGGCAACAACAGAAGTCCATATGATTGTTGTGTGTATCACGACAAAGTGGAGGATGATTCAATGATCTATCTTGTTTTGTATGTGGATGATATGCTCATAGCTGCGAGGTCGAAGTCTGATATCCATAAGTTAAAGGGGCTTCTCAGTGCTGAGTTTGAGATGAAGGATTTGGGAGTTGCTCAGAAGATCTTGAGTATGGAGATCTACAGGGACAGGTCGAAGAAGAAGCTTTTCTTGTCATAGAAGAGCTACATCCAGAAGATACTGTCGAGGTTTGGCATGTCTTCAGCAAGGCCCTTAAATACTCATAGTGCTTCAAATATTCATCTATCCTCAACTTATGCACCGCAGTCAAAGGCTGAGAAGAAGCAATGCAGTCAAAATCGCGCTTTAAAACTTAAAAACTTACGCTTTTACGTTTCTAGGTCACCAGAACGCTTCCGTTTCCACATAAAATCTTTAGTGTATAAAATCTATGTTTATGAATTTCTTGTTAAGATCTATGTTTATGAATTTATTGTTAAGATGTGATGAGTTGCTCTACTTTAGACCTTAATTGTAGGTATTTATTAACTTATCTAAATTCTATGCACTCATATTTTACATAGCATATGTCGTACTTAACAGATTCTTAGTTTTTACAATATGCGTAAAAAACTTACGTTTTTACCGTTTGATTCTACGCTTTACGATTTTACCCATTTTCCGCTTCTAGGTAGAATCGCGCTTTTGACTGCATTGAGAAGGAGTATATGTCGAGAGTCTCATATGCTGGTGCAGTAGGTAGCTTGATGTACGCTATGGTATGCACTAGACCTGATCTTGCACATATTGTTAGTGTTGTCAGCAGGTTCATGATACAACATTGGAAGGAGCATTGGCAGGTTGTGAAGAGGATCTTCCGGTACCTTAAGGGTACACCTGATGTGGGAATTAGCTTCGGAAGTGATACAGAGTGCTTGGTGTCTAGGTATTATGACTCATACTATGTTGGAGATGTTGACACCGGAAGATCGATGACCGGTTATGTATTCACTCTTGGGAGTTTTGTAGTGAGCTGGAAGTAAAGTATACAGTCGGCGGTGGCATTCTCTACTACTGAGGCTGAGTATATGCCGTTGACAGAAGCTGCTAAGGAGGGAATATGGTTGAAGGGACTGGTTGGTGATCTGGGTCTACATCATGATCAGTTAGTGGTGTATTGTGACAGTTTGAGTGCAATATGCTTGGCCAAGAATCAAGTCCACCACGAGAGGACTAAGCATTCTTGAGGACAGAGAAGAGGATTAAGGTGAAGAAGGTTGGCACCGCGGAAAATCCTGCTGATATGTTCACGAAGCCGGTTCCACATGGCAAGTTCCAACACTGCTTGGACTTGCTGAATGTCTTGAATGGGTGACTCCGCCCTACGGGGCAATAATGGCGGGGGAGAGAGAAGGAGCAGAGTACATCAGATATTTTAGAGGAAGAGGATTCAAGTCAAGGTGGAGATTTGTTGATGTGACTTGAATCGGTCTATTAGCAGCTACGACTGGAATAGTTGGGGGTCTAAATACTTCTCATCTCCTCTATAATATGTAATCTCCTCGATATAGTTAAACTGGCTCGCTCTCACCCGTGGACTAGCTAACACACATCGTGTTAGTGAACTACGTAAATAGTGTGTCATATTTTCGATTCTCGCTTTCGTATTCTTGCTTTCTCGAATCCGGCGATTTCCCAATCCGTAGCAGCGCGTTTATAACATACCAGATGTTAGTGGTACCAAATGATAGTGGTACACTACCATTACCAGCTACCAGATGGTACTGGTAGCGCTGTACTGTTAGTGGTACTAGTGGTAGTGGGAGCGTACTACTAACACACTGACAGAGTGGTAATTTTTGTAGGTGGTCGGAGCGAGTCTGATTCAAAAAGTTCGCCGGAGAAAGTCTGTCGTTCGGAAAATCAGCCGGTCGGAGTGGATTTGCTGCTAGAAAAGGAGAGAGATATAAAGAGAGAGAGAGAGAGAGAGAGAGAGAGAGAGAGAGAGAGAGTTGTATTTATTGTAGAATTTAAATTTTAAAAAACATGTATTTAATATGAGTTTTTAATTCCCAATCTGTAATTAATACAAAAAATTTAACTAATAAATTCATTTTTTGTCATACCCAAAATGACATTGGTTGTGAATCTCACAACCCCATTAGGGAAAGTGACTGTATCCCACCCCTCTCTACACCTAATATAGTTAAGTTACAATAAACCCTTAACATAAATATTAAATTCCAACAAATTCCATCAAACAAGGAACCCACCAACTATCTTAAGCTAACTCCCCCTAAGAATGATATGCATCCTAGAACTCATATTCTGGAGATGGGACATAGTCTGAGATGGCATATTCATCCTCCAGCATCTGATTCTTGCTGCTGCTAGCTTCCCCCTCCTGCCTGAACATGACTCGAATAGCCTCCATGGGATGCACCATTGGTTGTTTACCATTGTCCCTAACCACCCCAACTAGATCTGCTATATCCGGTGCTTCTTTAGCTTCATCCTCACCCAGATCTGCAAGACTGAGTCCATCCTCAAGTGAAGGAACTGCATGACCAGCTGCTTCTCCCCCTAGAGCATTGACCAGAGGGCGACGGCGGCCGACAGATGCATCGACCTTACGGAGCACAAACTGAGCACGAAGAGAGCTGAGCAGATCCACACGAGCCATCTTCAAACGCAAATCCAGGCCCAAGGCCAGCAGGATTTGAGTGATATGAGGAGCAAAGGGAAGTCGCCATCATAGTGGTCGTCATGATAATTCAGCATATGAGCAAAACACCAGATGGGGATAACTAATGACTCGATTCTCCTTAGCTCTAGCAAGGATCCACAAATCCGAAGGATAGATTGTTGTGAGACCATGAGACCGATGGAGAAAGAACCGAGTTATATAGAAGTGCAAGACTTTGAGATCGTCAGGAAGTCTCCCAGAGTGGAAGTCAGAGGGATAATAGCGACTAGTATCACGAGTATACAGACGAAGAGAATCACCCTCGTTGAAATCAACAGAGTGAAAGTCAGATTCATTCATGACTTTAGCACCAGGAATGGGAATCCCAAGGAGAAGAGACAACAACTCCACATTGATAGTTATCAGATAGTTATAAACTATCGTAGTAAAACAGGGCGGAGAGATGTGATAGCAGGGTTTCATGTTCGCATAGAACATCCTCACCGCCTCAGGAAGAAACCCGAAGTTCCTATCAGGAAGTATATCCCCCCAGCCAATGGAATTTATCAGGCGAGGAATATCCATCCCATACCTGCTGAACCTGGAAGGATCAAGAGTGATGGAGGGGCATAATGGACGATTTTGGAAATTGAGAAGGTAACGAGCATACTCAGCAGCATCCTCAAAACCTTTTCCATTGAAAATGGCTGCTTGAGCCAATCGAAGAGGTGCCATATTTTGATTTGGACCAGCCATGATCCCTCGGATGTGGGGATAGTTTGAAGAGAAAGAGAGTTTCAGAGATGAAGAGAATGTCTCAATTCCAAGGCTTTTCATAATCGGACACAAAATTGATACAAGGAAAGAAGTATGGGAATATGGAAGGACATGGATATGGAAAGACTTGACCCTAAAGAATAGACTCCCTAAACAGTGCAGGTAAAACGGGAAACCCTGCTTTCCTACTTAAGAAAGATCCTGGGGTAGGGCAGAAAGATCAATAATGTCACTTAACGAGAATATACCCAGCTCCCGCCTGATGTGGAGGAAAGATTCAGAGCCCAAAGGCTTTGTAAATATATCAGCCTATTGAAAAATTGTAGGAACGAACTCAAGATGAATTTTTCCATCTTGAACTAGTTCTCTAATGAAATGGAACCGAATATCTATGTGCTTCGTTTTAGAATGTTGAACAGGGTTTTTTGACATATTTATTGCACTAGTGTTGTCCAAAGCACAGGAATTGAACCAAATTATAAACCATAGTCAAGAAGTTGGTATTTCATCCATAACAACTGAGTGCAACAGGCAACCTGCTGCAATGTATTCTGCTTCTGCAGTTGACAAAGCAATAGAGTTCTGTTTCTTGCTTAACCAAGCAACCAGAGAAGATCCCATAAAATGACGTCCCAGAAGTGCTTTTCCGATCAACTATGCACCATGCATAGTTTGAATAAGAATAACCAACTAATTCTAAGCTAGATTCACAAGAATACCAAAATCCAAATTCCACAGTGCCAGCCAAATATCTAAAAATCCGCTTGACAGCAGATAAGTGGCTCTCCTTAGGTGCACTTTCAAATCTAGCACAGACACACACACTTAAGAGAATGTCGGGTCTGCTCGCAGTCACATACAAGAGAGATCCTATTAACCCACTATACAATTTTTCATTAACTGGAGTGCCGGACTCATCTTTATCTATTTTTAATGAAGTAGACATGGGAGTAACAACAGTTTTTAGGTTCCCAAAGTCAAATCGTTTCAGCATATTTTGAATGTATTTAGACTGACATATAAAGATGCCCTTAGGAGTATGTTTTCTCTGTAAGCCCACAAAGTAATTTAACTCACCCATAAGACTCATTTCAAAGTTAGTTTTCATAAGTTTCTCGAATCCTAGACACATCTCTTTACTAGTTGCCCCAAAAATGTGCTTTGCTTGACGTGATCCTTTTGCTGTGCCAAATCTGCCACCCTTGCAATTGATATTTCTTTCCAACTGCAGAAACTTGATGGCCACGGCTTCCTTTTCTTCCTTTGTGATTGATGACTGGCTTCCCTATAACATGTTGTGCACAGAAAATAAAATAGGGAATCGCGAAAGATTGGTTTGGTTGGTTGCATGAAATTATAAATAATTTTGTATATTAGGTGTATCATTAATTGGTTTCATTGGTTAGCAGTGTTGAAACCAAACCAAAACCACCTAAACCAAATAAGCTAAATTGTTTAACCAAACCAAACCAATTATCCAAATTAGCCAAACCAAATTAATCAAATTCTACTGGTTAATATGGTTACCACGGTAACCAATCCGTTTGAACACCCCTAGGTGTACATGTAGACTTTTGGGAAACAAACATGGCTTCCCAGCTAGAGTTATCCAGCCGTAGATAGCAGCCAACAGGGGCGGACCCAGGGGGTTTTAGGGGTGTCCCCGGACACCCCTAAATTTCGGGAAAATGATTATCCAACCCCCGGTGGTAATTTACGTATAGACAAAAAAATATAATTGATAGTGAGGGACATCCCTGAAATTTCAAAAATGATTATCCTACTGTCATTTGTGTATAAAAATATAAATGGTAGGTTGGGTAATTTAAATCTAGAACACTATTATTATTATTAATAAACTTAATTTCCGTTGAGCTACAACTCATTTGGTGTTCGATTTTGAACAATGTGTAATAGTAAAAAGTCATTCCCTATCTCTAATTATTTCAATCTAAACTAATTTCAATCTGCCCTTAATTTGTATTGATTTTATGATTGTACGGCAAGTGTTGAAATGTCTTTCAGCTTTGGGTTACATCAAGAACAAGTTTACAAATCGAATATGCGATAAGTTCCCGAATGATTGTCTAGTAGGGTGTATAGAGAATTTTTTTTAACACTATAAACACCAAGTGTATTCTACAACTATTTTTGAATATGAAAACACACCATGGACTTTTTTAACATGTACGAGTAAGCTATTTTCATATTTACGATTTTATTTTTATTAATTATAATTATTTATTTTTAATTTATTTTTTAAAAGAGGACACCCCTATGAAAAATTTCTGGGTCCGCCACTGGCAGCCAATGACTACGTCAACATAAATATGAACTCCAACCTCCAGCGTATGAAAGACATTGTGCCTGATGTAAAAGCTATCTAACAAGAAGCTGAAGCAAAAGCTAAGATAAGCAAAGGCCGAATCTATGGCTTCATCAATACCTGGAGAATCAGTATCCAATGCAAATGGAGATGCGGGTGCGATTTTGAGGTTGTAGGAGCGGAGCCAGGAGGGGAAGAAGAGAAAGAGAGAAGAGGAGATGAGATGAGTGACTGGAGAATGGCAATTGGAAGATGGTGGAGGGGAAGAAGAGGAAGAATGGAGAGAGAACGGAGCAGTCGGCCGCCACGAATGAGAAGAAATGATGATTAGGATTTTTTGAACCTTCATTTAGTTTATATAGTAAGGGTAAAAAATGACGTTGTTTTGAGAAACGAGGCAGATACCACGAGATCCATCGCTACCCGTTTCTTGTTACTCACGGATTTTAGGTATGCCCGAATCCGCCCTTTACCCACGATGGACGGGTAAAATGCTCACCATCTGAGTGGATTTCGGGTGGGTATCCGACGAGTGGGTCAAGGTTTCCATGCCTAGGACATGGGCTTGTTTTTCATTCTATATCCTTTTGTTCGTAGCCAAGGTTGTCAAATCGGTTTATACCGTTGCGCTGGTTTAGCTAGTGGAATGGTACGACCAGTGTACAACCGATTTGTGTCGGTTCATGTCTGGTTAATAAAATACGACATTTCAAATAAAATAACAAATACTCATATTTAATGACAATATTTAACGTCAATACTTAAACATTGTATACATTAATCTAATAAATTACATCAACTTTTTATTTTTATATTCATAATATATGCAATAATTTCATTTTTTATTAATTAAATTCACTAAAATGATGTCATTTTATTTAGAATTAATAAATCAATCATGTCGGTCTCATACCAGTGGTGTTCATGCAGGTTTTATGACCAGTACCGGTTCAATCAGGTTTAACCGACCGACATGTTACCTGCAGGACAACCATGGCGGTAGAACAAAACTGGTCGGTTTGGGCTTGTTATCTGTTAAGTAAAATGACCATGAATGAATGGGCTCGTTTTCCATAAACCCGTTTACTGGAACTCATCTATTGAACTATTTTTTTTATTAGGAGTTAGTGTGATGGTATTATCGTTTACTTTTTTTTTTTACAATAAATTTTGAATTTCAGCTCCGTTATTTTGTCATCGTGAAGGGAGACGATGACAAGGTTCATTAGAGCTTTTTCTTCAAACATTGGAGGGAGTCGATTACTCGTGCCGAGCTGGCTGCCGGCAGGTATAGTGCATGAGTTAAAGCTCACCTAGGAAGAAGGGCTAGGAAGGTGATTCTGTAGACGGATTCGGCAACAACCAAGTCTTTAATAGAGTCCGCCGCTCCACAGCACCCTCACTACTCTTGTGTTGCATAGATTCGTCTATGGTTGATCGCCCTTGGCTAGTTAGGATTCAACATGTATACAAGGAGGCGAATTATGCTGTTGATCACCTTGCTTCGATTGTGCACTCATTACCTGTAGGAGTCCATGTATTTGACCAACCGAGCAGCATGTTGTTAACTGCTTGTACTTTGATCCTACAGGGGTTGAAACACCTCGCTTAATTTAGTTTAATAAAGGTTGGGCGCCCTAAGCGCCCTGTTCAAAAAAAAAAAAAAAGAGCGGAAGAAAAATTATGAGCTTGTTACTAGGGCTGTTAACCGGTCTCCGGTTTTTCGGTTACCACCGAAACCGAACCGTAACCGTCGGTTTATTGACCAACCGAAAACCGTCGGTTTCTTACGGTTTGCGGTTGCGGTTGGCTGTCACCGACCGTGGGGCGAGTCTGGCGGTTAGCGGTTAAAAACCGAAACCGTAAACAATAACCGCAAAAACCGACCACACCAACCCCCAACGTCGTCGTTTGGCTTTGGCCTCTCCAGTCTCCCCAATCCCCTCCTCCCCTGACCTAAATCGAAATCGCATTTTTAGGTTTTGTTCCGCCTCTCCCCAGCCAGAAGCCCAGAACCTCTGACCCGCCGCTCCTCTCCTCCCCATTTCTGACCTAATCGCCGCCAGTCGCCTCGTCCGGTCGTCCCCTCGCCGCCAGTCGCCTCGTCCGGTCGTCCCCGTCGAGCTCGTCGGCCGTCAGGCGTCGCAGCGCCGTCCACTCCTCTCGCTCCCAGCCTTCGTCTCATCGCCGCCGTCCCGCTCCCAGCCTTCGAGTCGCCGCTGTCCTCCAACAGAAGTCGTCGTCGCCGCCGTCTTCTGCCCCGGAATCCCGCCGTCTTCTGCCCTGTTCTCCCGCCGTCTTCTGCCCTGTTGCCTCCGAGTCTGCTTTCAGCAGAGGAGGTCGGGTGCTATCCTCATTTAGGTCTTCCTTGACCCCGAAGATGGTGGAGGCATTAATCTGTGCCGAAGATTGGATACGATTCCCTGATTCCCAATTGGTTCATGATGAAGAGGATTTCGAAGAGCTAACTGAGTTTGAAAGTGGTAATATATCATTTCTTCCTTCTAATTATGCTTTAGTTTTCATCTTTTACAATTTGCCTATCTTAGTTTTCTCATTATAATCTATTTTTCATGTAGTTTATGAGGTTTTACAAGCTCGAATGGCTAATCAAAGTGGGAGTGACTTTGATGGAACCCAAAGTTTTTCAGTTGATCCTACTCCTACCCCCATGGTTGATGGACTTGATGATGTTGCTGAATATGATTCCGATGTCAATCCTGATGACGAGAATGAAGATCTTGAAGTAAATGATGACATTGGGCTAGACGATTTGGAGCGAGATCCCCGAATTTAGGTTGATGATTTGGAGAATGAACTTGTTATTTGTGGCTTGTTGTGATTTGTGAACTTGTGACTTGATGAATTATTGGCATGTAAAAGATTTATGGTGTGGATGAATGATGACTTGACTTGTGGTTTAATTGTGGTTGGTTTAGACTTTATGTTATGATTTGATAATAGAGCAGCAGGTTTTTAGAAAAAATGCAACAGCAGGTTTTTAGAAAAAGGCACCAGGTGATAGGTTTGCTGTGTGCAATTCACGAAAATCGGTTTTATTGGTCGGTTAATTGGCGGTTTCTGACCGAAAACCGAAAACCGAAAACCGGACCGACTCCAACAGTTTCGGCTAACCGTCCTCTTAAACCGAAACCGTCGGTTACGGTTGACGGTTAACCGAGGATTCATTCGGTGTCGGCGTCGGTTGAGGGAAATGGTCTGCTCTCGGTCTCGGCTAACCGACGGTGCGGTTCGGTTAAACCGAAACCGCACCGACTAACAGCCCTACTTGTTACTAGTATAAAATTATTTATTAACCAAACATACATGTTAAATATAAATATTAGTTATTTTATTTGGGATGTTGTATTTTATTTAAATATATTTTTTATATAAATAAATCATTTGATGCTAATTGTTTTTTTAATATCTTTACATATTTTTCTAAACCAACACTAACCTGTACAATTGATTATACCACTAGATTAACCATTCCATATAGTAAACTGAACATCTGTACAACCTGGTTTGACAACGTTGGTCTATATATATTATATATTATATAAAGAAGCGGAAAAAATCAAGATACGAGGAGTTAAATAAAATTAAAATAAAAGATAATTCCCTCCCTTCTTGTTCCGTATAATAATTAATAATAGCCTGCGTCGCCCAATCAATGCCCAAGTCGTGCTCTTTTCTTGTTCCTCCTGAAAAAAAAATCTCCTCCCACGCTCTTGTTCGAATTTTTCTCCTTTCCTTCTTCTTCCCTCTTTCTTTCCTTCTTTTTCCTAGTTTCCTTATTTCAAATTCCCAATTATGAATCAAAACAGGACCAATTTTTCCTAACCCTAACCCCTCTTTCTCCATCTCACAATTGCCCATCTTCACTTCCTCTTCCAACTTGATCCGCCGGCCTACCTCTGCCGTGCACCTCACCGACTTCTGGTAAATCTTTCGCTCCCTCTCTCTCTCTCTCTCTCTCTCTCTCTCTCTCAATTTTGTTCCTCAGATCTAGGCTTCAATATGATTTTACTTCGTACTATTTGGATCCGTGGATCGTGGCCATCCGGCTGCAGTTCTCTGCGCGAGATCTCGATTCGGAGGCCTACAGAGAAGTCCTATGGCGGTTCCCAAGCTTGCCTGCCAAGAAACGAGCTGGCCGCTTCTAATTTTAGCCTTTTCTGTTTCGAATCTGGTTTGACTTGAGATACCGGCTCTCTTTCTCCGTTCTCACAGTTTGAACGCGTTAATTTGTTTCTTAGCTGAATTTTTGAATTTCATATCGACGGTGACCTAATTGGTCTTCTTCTTCTTGTTGTGCAGGGAAAGAAATTTTGTGGATAGGAATCAAACAGTTCGTGACAGCTATTAGAGTTCAAGTAGATAGTAAAGAAGTAAGATGAGCCACTTTGTGATCCAGCAGAGTGCTTTCTCGAGGAGGGAGCGGACCTCCGCCGCAGCTCCAATCTCCGAGGAGCGACGGGAGGCGGCGGTTGTTTGTCCTAAGCCACGGCGTCTCGGTCTGTTCGCCGACACTGCCAACGACCACCCGCTTCGATCTCTCAGATGGCAGCTCGGGTGAATATCCAAACAGTTTCTTTATTTCATTGTTGTATTGTAGTTCAATTTTTAAAGGAATCTCTGTGTCCATTAATTCCAATAGTGATGCTAAAATTGCCTCTTTTGGGAATGGCGTTCTGCAGCCACCAAGCGGAGATCTGCGATTCAAAAGCAGGAAACGATCTTCTCGACATCATCCTTGCTAAGGTAAAGCGAGTTTCCCAAGTATGATTCGTGATGAGAGGATTCTTTGTGAATTTAATAGGCCGTTCTGTCTTTCGATGCTAGCTGAACAAAGTACCCTAATGATCAGAACTGTGTGTGGCAGGGTGATGGTAATGTTGGCAGGGAGCAATCATATCCACAACGAGTAGCGGCGTCGCCCCCTTTTTTCTGTGGGTCGCCGCCGAGCAGAGTAGCTAACCCAGTAATTCAGGATGCTCGATTTGGAGGGGAGGAAGAGGAGGATCTACTGTTTTTGACCCCTTTCTCGCCGCCTGTTCCCCCTCCGTCATCGTTTTCGTCTCCAAGGAAAGGCGGTGGATGCATTGTCCGGTCGAATTTTGGGAACAAACCGGCGGTGAGGGTGGAAGGTTTCGATTGCCTCGACAGGGACAGCAGGAACTGCAGCATCCCTACCCTGGCATAGACAGAGGTCCTTCATAACCCACTTCCCTCTCCTCCACAAACTGAAAAACTTTTGGTACATATAGGGCTAAAAAGGTTTAATCAATAGAACAGGAAACAAGTCAAGTGAAACACATTTGGTAGTCGCAACGAAGAGCTCAGCAGCAAGCAGCAAGCAGGCCTTTTTGGTTTGTTCATAGTTTCTCTCAGCAGGGTAAGATCAGACGAATCCTTTTTTTAGTTTATGATAGTGTTGGTGTATATATCTGTGCGAGAAGGAAGGGTCAGTTTTTGTATGTAAATGCCCATCAGAAAGTGTCATTGTGAGTAAGTAGAAGCCATTTTCATTGTAGAATAAGAGATGGACATTGGAGGGGGCATTTTCCCATAATCCTTCACAAGTGGTTCCTCTTTTGTTACTTTGGGTTGCTGAGTGCGTCCTCTGAGGCGGTGAAGAAGTTCGATCTGTACAAATAGGACATGGTTAATCAATCTGGAGTGTTTTATACTATAATGAATGTAAATGGGGATCCCTTTTTTTGGGTAATGAATGTAGATAATACAGCTTTTCTGGTTCAGTTTTAACTTAATTATATGGATCGTGCTATCACAAATTACCAAGAATTGTAAAATGGTACCGGTGGTTGTATTGGAAAAGTCTGTGGTATGATATTTTATACGAAAATTGTGGTTCAATCGTTTCATATTGCCTATTAGTTTTGTTCCGGTAATAGATTTTTCCGGTTGAAACACTGGTAGGATATGTTATTTTAATCCTTGCAAATAACTTATTCTGGACCCCCGAAATGGCAGAGACTGACCGTGGCACTTGTCTCATGTCCTCTGTCAAAAAGGGCCTTTAAAGGGATTGTATTGATTGCACATGAGGATTGCATATTATTATGAGCTGTTTGTTTGTGGCAAGCACGAGGCAACTTGCAAGTTGCAACCAGATCCGGGCGGGGTGAGTTCTGTAAAGATACGCTGACCAGATCTGCGGGTTTGATTCAACGCTTCATTCTCCCCAGTTTTGGGGTTCCAGACACCAAGAGGTCGTTTGCTTGTAGGATTTTTATCATGGATTTTGGATTAATATCTCATACCCATGGGATTATGCACAAAGTCTATGTTTGTCGTTAAAGTGGTGGTTGATTATGGTGTATAAGCCCCATGTATATGAGATTATTTTGTGGTCAAAATTATTGGGGTCCACAGATTATAAAATTCCATCTATTTAGTTGGAATTTTGTGGGAGGCTAAAATCCATAATGATAAATGACGGGTCTATCCCCATCTCTTTTCAATATTTTCTATATTGAACATTAAAGACACAAATAATTAAGGATATAAATGTAAATTCAACCCATAATTGATAAATCCCATGGACACAAATCCAATATGAAATCCAACAAGCAAACATGTATTTTTTTAAAATCCAACACAAATCCAAACTAACAAAATCTCGCATAATTCTTCATCCATAAAATCCAAGGTTTTACCTAAATCCTTCATTTTCTAAAATCCTACAAGCAAACGACCTCTAATTCTTTAGGTTTGGTTCAGTCATTCAAATACTTTAAGGGTGCGTTTGGATACAATAATTTGGATTTGGTATATGTGATTTGGATATTAATTATATTTGGTATCTGGATTTGTGTCAAATTCATGGAGTGATTTTCAAATACATGTATAGTGTATTTTTTTTCAACTTCAAATGCATTTCAACAACTAGTGATTTGAAATACCTCCTAGCAAAAGATTGGACCTATTTGTAAAATATTCAAATTTAGGTACTATAGTGTGAGACATATATAAAGGTACCAAAATGTAATTTTACCATCAAAATTTCAGGACATTTTTGTAAAATTTTAAAGTTTAGGTACTAAATTGCAAAAAAAAAAATTTGGGATACCAAAATGCAATTTACCAAAATTTGTGGTAAGTGACCAGAAAATTGAAATAAAAAATCATAAAATTCAAAATACAAATAAATTACAAATGAGTATCCAAACAACGAATTTGAATTACATGTATTTCAGATACATCCATTTCAAATATCTTACATTTGAAATACACTTATCCAAACGCAAAGGGATCGTTTTGCTTTATGGATTTGGCTCTTAAATCTAACATGTGAAGGATTTTTCCAAAAAGACATTGTTTGTTGGGAAAAAATAAGAGTACCAAATCCTTGTGGCCCTTGGATTTGGAGATTTTTTTGGCTCTAAATTTGTGGACAAAACGAACTTGTAAATTTCACATTTTTTTTATAATGGTGACGATTGTATTAGGAGGAAAGAAATACAAGGAAGGGATCAAGAGCATTAATCCCAAAAACCCAGAGTCCGAAACGGTAGCAAAAGAAGCAAGAAAACAAAGAAACAGGGCAGAAACCCAAATCACAGAGTAGGAAAATAGAGGGGAAAAAGACAGGGAAAGGAAACAGAAAAGCACAAGAGCACTAGATGGAGCAGACCACCCCTGAGCTCAAAACAACGAGAAGGAACAAACAACACAAATTGCAAGATCCCAACACAATTCCACCACGCACAGGGAAATAATCGCAGCAGGCTGGCCCTCCGGGTTAAGGAGACCAAGCAGCACCCACCAAGGAAGAAACATAGACCACCCAGTCACAGCACCTCCAAAGGCAAGCATTGGCGCAGAGGCCTCATGTTCGGAGGCAGCTGCAGGTCTTGGAAAGTTCTTCGATTTCGTTCTAACCATATTTGCTAGCAAGTAGCATGGAGAATGCAGTAGCAGACCCAACCATTCGCGTTGTCCGGGATATCGCAATTCCATCTATGAATAGTACCGAGGACGTCGCTATTGGGAGGAGTGATGCCACTGCAAGATTTGGCATTCTCAAACCAAACCTTCTTGGCAAAGTCGCAATCCACGAACAAGTGGTCTACCGTCTCTTCACACCTGCCACACAAAACACATCTATTTGCAATAGACCACCCCCTCTTCTGCAGGTTGTCCAAAGTCAGCAATTTCTTGTGAGCCACCAGCCAAATAAAGCTGCAAATCTTGGAAGGAATAGGCTTTCTCCAAACTGACTCAGCCGGGAAGTCATCTACTCCTTGGAATTGGTTGCTAACAATTGACCTGTACATCAACTTAACAGAAAAGGAAGATTCGGGACGGGAATTCCAAACAATTCGACTCGGTCCACAAGCGGCACAACGATCAGTAGAGATAGAAAGTAGAATAAATAAATCAACCCTCTCCATCTCTGTCCCCCCCCCCCCCCCCCCCCCCCCCCCCCCCCTCTCAAATTGACATTAAAGATAAGATTTCAATGACCAGTCTCACCTGTCCTGGTTACGATGTCGGCGACCCAAGCATCCGGGGAAGAAGCGGCAGCGGCGACGCGCGGGAAAGCTTTAGCAAGGGTCACGTTCGGGATCCAGCAATCCTTCCAGAAGGAGACCCAAGCACCTCCTTCTGGATCAATATGGACATGCTTCCAGAAAGTCTCGTACTCCCTAGTGATATTGGCCCAAACAAGCCCCGAGAATCCGCTTTTACAGCGATCACTTTGCCAAATGGACTGGGAATCAGAATACTTGGTGTTTATAAGCTCCTTCCACCAAGAGTTATTCTCAGACGCGAACCTCCAAAGCCATTTGGCAAGCATGGCTTTATTAAAGCTCTTAATGTCTACAATGCCAAGGCCGCTGTTATGCTTCGAAACCTTGCACAAATCCCATCTCACAAGGGGAATCCTTTGATTATCAGTCGTACCACTCCAAACAAATCTCCTTTGGATCTTTTCGATTCTATTCACTACCTCCATTGGAGCCGCAGAAGAGAGAAATAATACGTGGGCTAATTTGGTAAATCCCACATTTTTATTTGAGATTTGAAGAACACAACAAATTCTACATGAAAAATGATTTATATATCCCCTTATAATTTCTTTAATCAAACTTTACCCCTTATTAGTTATTCTTTGTACTACTACAATTGCCTCTTATAGCTACAAATTATAGTCATGAAAAATAATATTGTAGCTAATAACATGTTAATGACTACATAATCCATTCATCGTGGCTATTTTTGAATGTCTTTGTCACAAATTTATTTAGACATAAGCGTATAATTATTTTGCTTCAAATTTAGAATTGGATGGCAAATAATACCATTTAGCTACAAACCACATTTGTTGTTACAACAAAGATTATACAAACAAATTTTAGCCACGAATTGTAAGATTATAATGATATATTTTGATTACGTACACATTTTAATATTTTGTGGCTACTAATTTTATGAGCTTGCTATAAAATATCAATTTTAAAACAAAAATTAACATTAACATGGCACAAGTATAAAACTAGAAACACAAGTAAAGTTTTAAATTTAATAGGAAGAAGAGTAGTAAGGTAATATACATCTTAAAGATATAAATCCATAACCGCAAATCAATGACCAAATCAAGTAAGCAAATAATGGACTCTTCCAAATCCGTAATGCAACAAATCCCAAACAAATCCTTGAATTTTTAAATTAAAAAACTTTTTTTTTTAAATCCATAAAGCTGGTTATTGCAACTTCAAAAAAACCCCTCGCCTCTCTCATGTTTCTTTTCATCTATTTACCTGTCTTTCTTTTCTTTGTTGCTACTTGCATCTCCTACTGGGACTTTCTTTGTCGAGCCTCTCATGTATATGATTGTCTCTTTTTCTTTCTCGTGCCAGATTTTAGATATGTTCATTTGAGATGTTTTGTTGGTGATAAAGGATGTTGATGTTTCCTTAGCCTGCCTTGTTCTTCATGTTTTCTGATCCTCCTCCTTACCTCACCTCTTTAGTTAAGTATTTTAGAGAACTCTCGGGAATCCTATTTTGACCTTCTTGTGGTTTTAGAATTGGTGAAGCTTCAAGGCGAAGTTCATCTCAGTTGGCTTCTAATCAATCGTATGGTTGCATGAGCTTTCGCTGTGAAGGATGTGGCTCTCTTTAGTTCCGGCGGGTCTGTGTGTTTGGTGTTTTCAGACCATGTAATCTCGCTCTCCCATCATCGGTAGATGCGGATGCTGCTCTTTAAGTGTGGAGAATGATTTTTTTTTTTCGCTCGTGGTTCAAAGGTCTCCTCCAAAAGGAGTCTGATGCCCTTCTTTTTGGATGATATATTAGTCTGCTAGGTTTTCTGGTAGGGATGGTAATTGGTTCGGTTATAATCGGAACAGGTTAGTGGGTTCTCCGTAAACCGTTAAACACTTTGTGTGTACCATTAATAGCAACGTTGATATTAATCGGTTAACCAGAACCATAGAGCCACTTCTCGGTTATTTTATCAATTAACCAGATAATCGTTAAGCAAGTGATTAGAAAATTTTATAAAAAAATAATCGATCAATAGTTTAACCAACAGAAGACATCCTTTTTTATCTTCACAGATAATGAAGTCTATTGATCATATCTTCTACCGACGATCAAGTCCATTAAGCACCGATTTGGGCGGATTTATTTTCAAGATGACATTTTCATAATTTTTTGGCTGTTTTTTATTGGATATTCTCCTCGTATTTTGAAGGATACAGACCACGCTTCGGCCTGAGGCTATTATTCACTGATGATTAAGTCCATTAAGAATCGATTGGGACAAATTTCTTCTGGGTCTATTTTTGGTAGAGTCTAAAGGGGTACCATCACAGTTTTTGGGCGATTTTTCCGGAATGCCATTTTCTTTAAATTTTGAAGGCTACTGATCATGGATCTGCCGTAGGCTATTCTCCACCCATGACGAAGTCTATTTATCCTATTCTTCACCGATGATTAAGTCCCTAAGCACTGATTTGGGCAGATTTATTTAGAGATGACATTTTCATAATTTTTTAAGTGATCTTTTTTGCAATGCCATTTTTTAGGACTTTGAAAGCTACAGATCACTGATTCGGCCTAAGGCTATTCTTCACCTAAGATTAAGTCCGTTAAGCAACGATTTTGGCGGATTTTTTCCAGGTCCATTTTTTGTAAATACCAAAGGGGTACCATCACAGTTTTCGGGAGATTTTTCCGAAATACAATTTTCTTTCAATTTTGAAGTAGGGGTGGGCATTCGGTCGGTAAGGTTTCGACCGAAACGAAATTATGAATATAGTGTCCCCGAATTCTCTCAAACCTCAAACCTCAAACCGAATTCGAACCGAATTATAATTTGGTTTGGTCGGTTTAAACTGAATTATAATTCGGTTTGGTTCAATTTTTCACCCAAAACCGAATTTGTGAAGCTACTTGTATTTTCTCACTTTTAAATTATTTTTCACCCCTAATATAAAAACTAAATATCAATTATATGCATCATCAATGATAAAATCAAACTTTTCAACACATAAGTCATAAAACATTTCAAATATTTAAGTCTAAAAACAACTACAAACATAAAAATCCACCATTTGGAGCTTGCAATTATAGTATTTCGGTTGTTCGGTCGGAAATTCAGTTCGGTTGAAAGAACCCTGATTTCCGAACAATCCATATTTTCCTTCCGAATTTCGAACCGAATAGCATTAATTCGGTTTCAGTTCGGTTCGGGTTTACCGAACCATTTGCCCACCCCTATTTTGAAGGCTACAAATCACGAATTCAGGTCGAGGCTATTTTCCACCGACGATGAAGTCAATAATCCTATTCTCCGTCGATGATTAAGTCTCTTAAGTACCGATTTGGGCATATTTTGTTCCGAATGTCATTTTCTTAATTTTTGGGCGAGTTTTTTTAATAGGCCATTTCCCTTGGATTTTGATTTTTGAAGGCTACATATCAAGGATTCGTCCTGAGGTTATTCTTCACCGATGATTAATTACATTAAGCACCGATTTGAGAGGATTTCTTCCGGGTCCATTTTTGGCATATGTCAAATGGGTACCATTAGTGGCGGACCCAGAATTGCCGGAGAGGTGTGTCGCCGATAAAATAATGTAATAATTCAAAAAATTAATTAAAAAATTATTAAGAAATTAATAGAAATTACTAGAAATTAATTCATAAAGTTCACAATGTCATGTTTACTATAAATGTATGTAAATACATTCATTGCTTATGTTGCGAAGCAAATCCTTTTCGATATACACAACTAAACAATGATTCATTAAATTCGTAACTCAACCGAATTCGAAGTTCATTCTTGATTATCTTCATAGCTGAAATCTTTCGCAGCTTTCAATTGCAACAAGTAAAGTCAACACCAACTTCCAAAAGCAAGTAAAACTAAAGGGTAAAAGAAAAGGGAGATGTGGTAGTGGCTCTCGGTAATTAGAAACTAAAACGGGGTAAGGGTGAGTTTTTTATTTTTAATAAAGGAAGGGTCAAGGGGTGGAAACGGTGAGTTTCAAAGGATGGGGTTATATTTATTTTTTCCATTGTTGGGTTGTGGTAGGGATGACAACCAAACCCATGGTCGCGGGTACCCGACCTCCTCCGACCCAGTCAATACGGGAATCCCTGCATTGACTGGGTATGGGGCGAGTATGGATAAAACCCCCCAAAAAGGTTGATGGGTATGGGGCGGGTATGGTTTTTAACTCTCCAGCCCCATACCCATACCCAAACCCGCCCTACCAAGGATATTATGTTATATACATAAAATATAAGGAGTGTATGGTAACTTGTCAATCGAATGAAGAGTAATTAAAAGAAAAAATAAAGTGTTAAAATGTATTTGATGGCAATCAAACCTTAATTTCATCCTCTTATGTATTAGTTCCATAATTTTGGGTGGGTAGTATCCATATTTGTCACCATATTCTATTACTAGCATGGGGCCCGGCCTATTGGCCGGGGAAGTTTTATCTTGGCATTTGAAATTTTGTACTCATTTTGGCAGCCTGTTTTCTTTTCATGGAACTCTCCGGAATAGGAAAGGGTTGTATGTGATGGTGTGTTTTGCTTCTTATTTGGCAAAATTTGGGGTGAACACTTTTTATAATTTCTTTTTGTCAATGCCCGAGTGAAATTTGGGTTGCATCCAAAAGATTTTGATAAACATTTTTGGAGATTGAACCCGTTAGGCATAAAACAATTTACCTGTGAACATTGGTGGAGAATTGTATTAATCCAAGACATTGCAGCCAATCCTAATTCTCGTTTGCAGATAAATGAGGGGGCTTTAAAGGCTAAATCAACAATTGAATTGATGGACTCGAAGGAGTTCAATGATACGATTAGTTCCTTGAAGGCTTAGGCATCCAATCCAGCCGACTCTTTTTATTATAAATACTTGAGTCTCCTAATAGTGACTACCATGTAAGTTCCTACGGTTATGATAATTGTCAAGTATGAGCCCCGAATAAAATAACAACTATCAGTTGTCATAAGCAATGAGGTCTATTTGATTAACTTATCTACAACTAAAATTGTTGGATTTCTAAATTAGACCATATTTCTTTTATCTCGCTAATTCATTCTAATTAATTGGATTATAATCGAGGTAGCCAATAAATCCAACCTAGACACATATTAAATATCACTAACCAAGTCAGTTGGTTGGTCAAATATTTTGACATAAGATCTTTTCCACAATAAGATCAACTTATATAAGGCTCAAAATCGATGACTTCTCTCTCTAACTTTCCTCTCTCTTCCTTTACTCTCTACTCTCTCCTTGAGATCAGCCACATCCAAAATGGATCTGAATGCAATCTTCTAATAAGACACATCCGTAATGGATCATTCTACTCACCTCTTGATTCCCAAATCACACCCGCAATTACTGCTAGCTCTTCGTACCCACTCCTTCCGCCTTGCATTGAAACTGGAAATCACCATAATGGCTACTGGAAGAGCCATAGAGCCCCAAAATGGAGTAAATGCACAATCCACTGCTCAGAACTTTCTGGCAAAGAAGGGATGGATATCTACTCCAT